GCTTCCGGAGGAGCTTAAGCAACTATCAAAGTCTGAATGTTTCCCAAGACGCAGGAAAACTTGGGGACCCCGTTTTGAGTGGAAACTCAATTGGCGTGCTCCCCCAACCATCTGTAGACTACCTATAATACAGCCGGTCACCGACCTGAACTAAGATACCCAACCGCAAGGAGTCTCGATCAAGGTTGGGATGGATGAAACCCTGTGCTAGCATGCAAGCTAGCTATCCAACTAACTAGCTAGCTAGCTAACTAGCACTTGAAAAATGACTTCACACATGCATGCATTTGAAGAGAAAGACGCAGAACAAGGCGCCTGCACTGGCAGCTCACGGGGGGCACGTTCCAAACTATCGTTTCTATTTTTTTGAAACTCCCGCGGACTGTACTGGCATGGAAATTTAGAACAGGCAGTAATCCCTCTGCACATCTGACACGAACAGCCACAGAACTACCGGGATAAAGCAACTTCTACCCGGCGAAGCAGATGTTGTCCATTCACAGTATGCGTCTTTCACTTCCTGAGTGGATTAGCCAAAAAAGGTCTAAACGTTTTACTACAATGGTCTTCCCAAAAAGAAGAAAGTCCAAAAACTCGGGAAGTGAGCTCAACACATTTTGCCCGTCCATCCCATCGCCTCTGGCTGACCCCACAAACTTCTCACCGCTCGCAGCTCCAGCTGCGTGCTCTCCGCCGACCAATTTCGCTCCGCCCCCGCCGCCTGGAGCCGGCCCTGGTTTGGAGCGGTCTAGGGGTACTCCTTTTCCAACATGGAAGGGACAGGAGGCTTACCCAAAAGGAAAGTAGCCTAGACATGTTTAAACAAGGGGTTGGCTCCAACCTGCCTTTCATGGCCTTTCTCGGCATGTGGATTCCCCCGGAAGGAATCGCCAAACCGAGAAACGTGATGTTCCAAAAAATAGAAATGAAGCCATCGGAATCGGCTAACATCCAAAGGTTCTCAGGCCCGACGTGAATCCCCAAAGTACGCAGGGAGCTACCCTGTTTGGACATGCTTAAACCCCCATTGTATTAGCACATTTGGATGTGTCTTGCTTGAGGTTACCCCTTTTTCGGTTGATTTTGAAGGGAAACCAAGAAAAGAAGGCAAAACCACTAGCCTTTTGCGCTTTCATTTTGAAGGACCCCGGGAATATTTGAGTTTGGAGCTTCACGAAAAGAACAAAGGTCGGAGGTCAACAAGACCGGCTCGTGCGTGCCTGGGATCCAAAGGTATCTTGTTCAATAAATCAACCTAGAACCTGAAACAAGCATTCACGAATGGTGCGCTTAACAAACCATCTTGAATCTGGCCTGGGAAAATAGTAGTTTGCAACGGCTTGGCCAGAATCTCTGGAACTTGTGCCAATGCCAATTGCCAAACCACTATCCAGAATGTCTCACTCTCAGCTTCGTGGTTCGTGGGTCCTGGGAGTCTCCATGTTGGCCTCAAAAAAGGGTATGCAGAATGTATGATACGCTTCGATGTCTTGGTTTGCTTACAGCGCTAAGAGATACGAACAGCCACCAGGTTGCTCCTTGGAAGAAAAAGGCCCAGTGTACAATTCCGTTTGGAATGGACACAATGCAGCAGAAAAGCCCCGTGACTGTGTCGACGAGCAAGCGACAATGTTGCTCAGTGGTTCAACTGGGCGGCCGCCCTGAGAACATATGGAAACTTCTGTGGTCTTCCCATGCACGCCCCCAATTGAGAGTCGAATATGGTGTGCACAAACCCTTGTGCACCAAGCCATGTTCGTGGCAGGATAGAACTATGGTCTGTTTCGGGGGGGGGAAGACCACATGTACATCCTACATTTTCCATGCACACACAAATGGGGCTTTCTCAAAATGCTGAACCCTTCTTGGATGGTATATACTGGGAAGCCAAAAGGACAGCGTTGCGTGGTCCTTTAAGAAACACCCAAAGGCCCCAGCTGAAACATTAGGATCAATGGGCATGGAGTCGAGACATAAACCCTGCCTGGAGCACCGCTGCGAGCACCCCGTCCTCGCTCCACATGTGTGCGTCTGTGTTTGTGTGTCTCACGGTGCTTTTCAACTAACCCTTTACAGCTCTGTTTGCAAAGGCAAACAAGGGAAACGAGTCACAATTCCAGGAACCAGCCAGTCCTCGGCCATCATTGCGAGCACCTGAGCATGCTTCGGTCTTTGGGTTCTCAAGATTGGGCTGTCCTCAGATCCCTGCTAAAAGTTTAATTTTTAGTGCGTCAAATGGAAACCTCCACTAGTCACTAATCCAACTAAAAGCCTAAAAGCCTAAGGAACCGGACGGCTGGGCACATCCTCAAAAATGGTCGACCGCAAAAGCTGGCGATCTACCATCCCTTTGTTGGGGTCATTTTCGGAAGCGTCCATTTTAACGTAAGTCATGTCATTCCATTCCAAGTAAGTTCGCGATGAATTATGTCATCCCATGAAATTGCATCTCACTCCTGTGGTAGACACGTGGCAACTGATAGCCCATGCCTTATCCCTCTTTTGATCATGGCACAGATGAGAAACCACTAACTCACTAACCAACCTGAGAAAGGCACCCTCAACACACGAGTCACCCGACAACGTTCGCGCAATACCCCCGCCCATTCGCCCCGCCTCGGCGCCGCGCGGCTGGTGCAGAATCTTCTTCAACTCCTGTGGAATCTCAACACATATTGCCTTTCTAGTTTTTGCAGCCACTCACAAAACATGACCAGAACAAAAAAACGAGCATGCCAAGAACAGTACTGCTTACTCAGACAGGCTCCTACTGTGGATGGACACCGCATCATTGAAGTTGGCACATAAAGCATTCCCAAATGAAAATAGGTCCAAAAGTCCTGTGGATGAACGAAATCCACTTCGCACCAGTTGCTGGCATAAACCGCACCATCATATACTGATCCAGAGCCATAGCGAGGGGAGCCACTGCAGCCGAATAGTCACTCTTAGTGGCTACTGGTGACCATTAGGGGACCATTATCGGCCAGAACCCTTCCCATAGCTGCCCTTTGGCTCTGAATCAGATGTGAAGCAGATGTTGTTCACAGGTGCGAATCTCACCAGTCCGAGTCCCTGGTTGGAAGGATATAAATCCCTACCTTCTTTTTTTCTTTCAAACACATGCCAATTTGAGGTTTTTGTAGCTCTTTGCGACTTTTCAGGGGCCCGGGTCATCAAAATTCATAGCCTGGGACCAAAAATTTAAGCCTGGGACCTCACGTGAATGCTTAGCAAGCTACAGACAAGTGACAAGGGAACGGGAAAAAGGCACCGCAAGGAATGCTACACCAACTCAAAATCCAGTTGAGATGTTCTGCATGAACAAAGCCCACCTAACTGCAGTTAGGTCATCCAAAGTCGCCAGGTTCCTTTTCCTGAACCTTGAAAAAGGACCCAAGCGGAAAGCAGTGCCCGATTGCGTCAGCATGGGCCTTCCAAAACGAGCTCCTTCCAAAACGAGGGTGGTATGCTTCGTCAGAATGGCCCAAGGCAGCCAAACAAGTTGTTAACTGAAGGCACTCGACCCACCGATCACCAGGTGCCTTGCCATAAGCTTGCTCTACCTCCCAGTGGTTCAGGGACGGAATAGTTCCTTGCAAACAAAACCATCCAAGAGAAGCCCCTAGCAGCGGAAAAGAGACAAAACTGCGCAGTGTTCTGTCACTCCTGCAGAATCCGCTGGCGAGCAATATTCGTCAGCAGCTTTGCACCAACCTGCCATACCGATCAACCCGTTGCACGTTCTCTTCTCAATTTGAGTGGCCAAATGGCCACGAATTTCCATAAATAACTCTGCAAAGGGTCCCCACGAATAAAAATCTCTCCCAAACGGGTTTGTATCAAGACGCTTGCCGGGCAGAGAAATACAAGGCACAACTAATGGGGTGAAGGCATGAAGCCTAGGCTTTGTGCAAGGCCTTGGTTTGTTGCCGGCCTGCCAGACAAATCGTGCAAGACATCGGGGCCATCTGCTTCTTTCCGCAGCTGATCAACTGGAACGTGGCGCATGGTGGTTGGACTTAGCGTTTTTTCCTGACACCATACCAAATGGAAACTCAAGTCCACCAATACTAAATCAAATGGAAACTCAAATCCAAATCTCAAAAGGAAGCTCCGGCATACTAAATCAAACGGAAACTCAGGTCCACCAATACTAAATCAAATCTGAGTTCAAAGTAGATACCTCCATTGTTGGGGGGAACTGCCGTTGCTGATCCCGAGTGACCATTGCGCCAAAGCCATGTTCCATCTCTATTGGGTGATTGCCCAAACTAGCCTACAAAACCATCAGGCTCCTCGAAGGAAAAAAGAAGAGGTAGTCCTGACGGCACTCACAGCTCCGTTTGTCGAGTCAACACTCCGAATGGCCCAAAGTACACGATACAGCTGGGTCCAACAATATGTGCCAGGTCGTGCCAGGTATTTTTGCGACTAGCCCTTTTTCAGCGTGCGAACCCATCAGAAATGTGTCTTGGCTTCATGGGTGTCTCAAGGGCCCTCAACATTAATACACTCATATTAATATAACTTTGATAGGGGATCCTGTGAACATCAGACTTCAGGGAGAAAACAACTCAAGTGGTTCAACCTCGTAAAACTCATAGCCACGAGACGGAAGCTTCCCAGCTCCAAGCGCAGATCATCCCCGCGAGAACTCGAGCGCGGATCATTTCTCACCACCAGTCACGTGCACAGACGCGGCGCTAAGCGCTCTGTGCCTGGACGCAGGACGCCGGACATCCCAAGCGTTCTTCATCTTTTGAGCGCCTCACAACCACATGTTTGGATCTACCAAAGTCTATGTAGGCTTCCTCTCTTACGCCCTCAGGGTTGCAACACTCGGGAGTTCTCCACTCAAGCAACCTTTTGACCTTCCAGATGCTTGGCCCAGAGTGACCCTATGTGGCAGAGGTGCATCTTGGGTTTGCGTTCAACAATTAGCTTTGAAAGACTCACACCGACAAAATATATTGAAAAAAGAACTCACGGTACTAACCCACGTCATTGCTTGCCCTAGGTATAACCCAGTAGGACGGAGGCAGACAAACACCAAAGCGGCGTTGCACTCAGTCCAAGTTGCAACCGCTCAGCGAGATTTCCGCTTCGCCTAGGCCATGATCCATTGGTGGCTGCTTCGACCGAACCGCGCTGCTGCTTGGAAGGCCAAATTTGTATTAGAGTGAGGGCTAAGTAATTACTAACCCTTGGCTACAGTGGTCGTGATTTAATACGGTTTAATATGGTTTTAATGTACCCCAACCCCCATTCCAATTCGTTAGCCACATGTATGAGTTTGATTCAGTTTTTCTGCTGTCAGCGTTTGAAGGGCATTGTCAAACAAGCCCAACCCCGCATTTCCACTATTGGTGAAAGTAAATTCTTGGTTTCGAGCTGCCACTATCTGCGATACCAACGTGATGCGCTTTCAGAGAAATATGGGTGTGTCTTGCAATAGGGGACCCCTAAAAAGGTGGCTTTCCTTTTGGCTTCCGTTCCAAACCACCCCCAATTCCCTCACAAAAAGGCAAGCCCATATAAACGCGATGGGGACGGGAATCAGATGCTGCTTTTGCTTTCACAGCACCTTGAGGGCTGAGGGGCACTTTCTAGATTTAGGACTTAGCATGGTTCCGAGGTACAGTAACTACCCGAGAAAGTCACTTGCCCAAAGCGATAACAAGAAGGGGATGGAAAATCTCTAGGGTACCCCGACGCCCAATTGTAGCACCCAGAAAAGACAAGGCTTGCACTTTTTCGTTTCAGGGGAGCTAACGCTAAAACAACCTAGATTGTGTGTAGAGGCGTGGGCGCAGGCCCCAGTGCCTTTCTCCTCTAGGAACACAGGCCTGATACAGTCTTGACCAGTCAGTGCTACGGATGAGATGCATAATCAGTCGGCAGCTGCTGCTGCGGTGAATGCATCCGGTGAGCGGGGATCGCTCACGAAAGTCTGGCCTGCTCAAGTGGCCGATGTGTTCCACGTGCCTTGCGAAGTCAAGAAGGGCCTCTCCGGAAATGGACCCCCTCGTAGGACCATCTGCTATCATGGTCTTCGTGCAAGCCTGCCACACTTAAGCTCCACCAGGACGCCCTGCTCAACAGGTATCTTGAGGGTTGGTGATTGCGCAGACTTTGCACTTCGGCCTCGAGTGTCCCGTGTGAGTGGTCCACCGGGCAGTTCCTCAAGAGACTATCAGTGCATGCAGCCAGCAGCAACAGAATCATTGGCGGCAAACAGTGGCAAACGTCGAGCAGGTCACATGGCGCGCCTTCACTGCGTCACACATCTTGGGCTTGACGCGGGCGGCCGCGGTCCTTTCGCCTCCACCGGACCTGGGCGCCCCAGCCTTCTTCATCTTCATGGCCTTCATGGGCTTCGCCACCTGAAAGGCAAGCAACTTGAGTCCATTGACCCAAGGAAGAGGGCCCCCCAAAAAGGGGTTGCCCAATGTGTAGAACCAATGGGTGAAGAAACGTTGGCAACCTTTCCAAGTTTCTGAAGGATACATCCAAAGGACCCCAGGTTTACAACTGCATCCTCCCAATCAGCTGGTATTTGGGTGATTTGTGTGGGCCAAATGTCCCCTTTGGACCCTGTGCGCTTCATCGCGAGCCGTGCCTTGCTGGCCGCAGCCTTACGGCCACTCTTCTCCAGCTGGTCTTTGGTGCTGGCCCCTGCGGTTCGATCGACTGAACGACTTGCTCGGGCAGGGTCCGGAGTCATCCGACATTAACATTGCCTCGGTTGCAACAATGCTTGCAAGTGGGGCAAACGGAGTGCCCCTACGACGCTACTTAAGTGGGCTGAACACCATGGATCAACATGCGAGTGTCTAAGGCACTTAATTACTTCGAATGGGCATACCCCAAAATCAGTGGCTATAACTGGGTTGCGCAGGGTTTGTACAGCCTCGCTTCCTTTTCGCCTACAAAAGGTGTGCATTTCTGTGGGGTACCTCCCTGCGGGGTATACACACAGGACCTTAAGCCAAATGCTGAACGGTTGACAACACATGGATCCCCATGAATGGCGCACCCTGAATCGAGTCCGAATGCAAAAAGAAAAAGAAAGACCGCAAACTCGATTCAGCAAAACGCTTCCCTGCCACGCGGCACAGCCCGGCCTCGGTAGACTTTGATATACCTCGCACGCGGCACATTGGGCCAAAGAAGACCGGGCCAGGTTGCGCCCAGGACTCTGGCATTGGGCACAGTTTGCGAATTAATTCTACAAGAAGGAACCCTTTTGCTTGCCTTTTAGAGGGAAACCTCTGAGGTCAAGCAATCATTTTGAACAGAGTCCCATCATCAAGCAAACCCAACTCCAATCTGAATGGGATGAGATACAGGATACTGCTTCACAGAATCTTGGCCCTAGGAACGCACTTAGCAGCCGCACCTCATGGTTTCTCGAAAAAGACATAAGTGTAAATACGGACCCATCTGGTTTTGCTATGACACCCCCAACCCCTGGCTGGTAAAGCTGCAAGGTCTGTGTGACAAAGCACTGATTGGTCAGTGGCCATCAAGGAGGAGAGGTAGAACTCCCGCAAGCCCCAAGACACCCACATGCACCGGTGGAGGGCATGTTTGGCTGTTTGGAATGTGAAGTTGGCCCCTGCAACAAGACTCCCCGAAAGTCCGAAAGTCATTCGGAAGCCTTTGGTGGACATCAGACTTGGGTGGGGATTCATGTCCACCAACACTGGTGAGGTTCCTGTTCAAAGTTCATAGCCACATGGGAACGCTGTTTGGAAAGCATTTGGAACCTTTGGGGATCGGATCTGGAAGCTCTTTCATGCAGTGTCAGTCGCAAAGCGAACCTCCAGTGAGTTGCACCCAAGGCTGAACTGGTGGTCTTGGTCAAGTGTGCCTGAACAAGGGCAACCGCGATACACCCCCGCCCAACATGGAATTCAACAAGTTCTTCCCTGCAGGAAACCAATTTCTCGACCGCGAACAAATATATGTCCATGGGTAGTTTACCCCAAGACGTAAAGTACTTTGGTAGAGACCCAGCAATGGTTTATGTCAGGGCAAACCAGTCAAGGGCCCCAAAAGGCCCAAGGGAAATGTTCATAAGTGGGCCCAAGCCTTTGACATTGGCAGCCCAAACTGATACTATATAGTAGCCACAAATAGTGGAGGCCTTAACCCCAAAATGCAAACCCGAAGTCACACTTCGGTGTTCAACCTCAGGAAGGCTATTTCACGATGGTGAAATCACCCAAAACGGAACCATAAGTTAAAACAACGACAATTGTCTGGGTAAATCAGAAAAACTGTACCTTGGAAAACAAGGGACCCCTATGGAAGAAACCTTCACGACATTGTAAACGTCGCCTTTCACTTGCCCAGATCAATGTGCAATTCATCCATCGGCTGCTACGCCAGTGCTAAGACCGGACAAACTGTGGAGGCCTTGGGCAACCCCATTGTTGCACCACTATCAGAGTCACCCAAGCGGTGAGTTGCAGGGAAAGATTCCCAGTTTCCCACTTTGACCCCCCAAGGTCAAAACAATGATCCGATTCTGAAATTGGGGGAGTTCCTTCCGTCGAACCGTACCAACCCAGGCCCGCGCATCAGCTCCGACTTGGCGCCGGAGGCCAAAGCCGCATCGAAGGCTCGCCTGGGGTGCAGGTCACACACCCTTCAACCCGTCCGTCTGTATTTGCACATATATATATATATATAACATACGTGCACCTATGATGCTCATGTGTGTATATATATATATATATATATAATATATATATATATATATATATATATATTTCTATATATGGATGTATTATAGAGCATCCTTGTATCACCTTACCCACAATCGGTGATCTGGATTGATGCTTTGCAGGTGTTCCGGCGATCCGCCTACGACCAGGCTTGTCGTAATGTTGACACCCGATTAATCATGGGATAGTCAATAATGCAAAGTTATTTTCTTTGTTGTGGTTCACCCCCATTGTTGATGGGGACCAGAATAACTGAAAGTTGTTTTTGCCCGCGGGGTGGGGGGGGGGAATCCAAAAATTATCCACAAATCCAAAAATACACACAAATGGTTGATGGTGGCCCACTTGCTTTAAAGCATTCCCCTTTGAATTGGTTGCTCAAACACAAAACCCAAAGCCAGCTAAAACCTCTGAAATTTGAAAACCATCCCCAGCCCTGAAACTGCAAATTCTTTATTAAACCGCGTTTAAACAATCAAAAAAAATCACGGACAAGGGTACCCCTCACAGACCCCACTGAACCACAACAATGGCATTCTTTAGGGGGACCACATTAGTTGCAAGCCCCCAGCCCCCTCCAGAAAATAAACTGTCAGTTGCTTTACTCAAAAGCATTCCCCTTTTAATTGGCGGCCCACTTACTTAAAAGCATTCCCCTTGGCCCACTTGCTTAAAAGCATTCCAACATTATGGAGGCCGCCGCGGAGGTGTTGGTTTGGATCCCAAAGAAACATTCACTGCCGCGTTCCGAGGAAGAAGCAAAGTGTTTACCCCGGAATACGTCCCTGAGAACACCCCCTCCACAAACGTGATGAATCCCGCTGAAAACCAGGGACACCCCAGTATTAATAAATACGGGAGTGTACCAATCCTTGGTCAACTTTCCCTCAAGCCCGAAAAAGCGGCCCCACGATCTTGAAAACGCCTAAAAATACACCCTTGGAACAACCCTAAGATACACAGCCTCAAACGCATTCCTAAAATGAGCTTCAGCCGAGCGAAGCCTTCCGAGACCCACGCCTGCACACGCTCCACACCTTACTAGCGGGGCCCTCGATGGTGGTGCCCAGCGCATTCACCGAGTGCTTTAGCTTCGAGGCCTTCGGTGCGGATCGAGCGCGCAAGTCCCCTTTGGCCAAAGCAGCTCGTCACCAGCTTCATCCCACCCCCCAGCTTCCAATGCCTGCTTCACCCTTTCTCCCTAGGACTGACCTTCTTATAGGGGTCGTTTCCTCGCCAAAACGCAGCCAAAACAAGGAGTCTGTTGCCCACCTGAAGCGGGCTTGTCACACAATGAGCGGACCTCACAAAAAGGTGGGCTTCCTTGTGGTTTGCGTTTGGGAACATGCACAACCCAAGCCCGGCTGAACTTGCCCTTCGCCGAGCTGCCGCGATGACTTTGATCGCTGCGTCCACGTGCTTCCACTTGTGCTTGGCGTTGCCCGGTGGGGACGGCAGCACTTGCAAGTCTGCTAGCAGCACAGACATCCGGACAGCCAAAGAGTGGCCCTAAATGGGGGAACCAAAGACGCACTGTATTTGTTGCTTTCCCTGCCACGGCATGCCAATGGAGGGGTGCTGACTCTGCACCGGCCTGCGCGGATTTGCTCCTCTAGGCTCACGGGTGTGGCGCATGACTTGAGCCCAGCTGCCAGGGTGGAAACAACTCTGCAGCACATGTTCATGAGGGGCGTCTTTTTTTCGGGGGGCCTCCAGATAGTGGCGCTCCTTTTGGTTTCCCTTTAAAACCTACCAGAAGGAGTATCCTCAGAAAAGACACCCCCATAACCAAACACATGTTGGCAAATTCCGGAAAAAAAGCAAGGCTTCTTCCAATTGTCGGGATATCCATCACACCTTCCAAGCCTGAGTCACGCAAGGTTGGCTTGCCTCGTGTTTGCCCATGTTCTTTTGTCGTCCGAGTGGGTGGTCTTTTTTAGGGCACCCCCCAAAGCCGCTCGCCCTGTCGCCTCGCGAAGAGCGGCAGCCAAGGCGGGGTCCAAGCTCCAGGCCGCAGAGCTCGCCTCATGGGAAGGGCCGATGATTCCATGGGTCGGTCCTCTTGGCGGAACTCCTTTACCAAATGGGAAACCCTCAAAAAACGACGAAAAAGCAGCCCATATATAAACTTGGTACACCCAGCAAACCCCAGTTCGGTCTTGTCTGCCTATGGTTGCTGGGTCCAGTTTGCAGGTTTACTCCCTTTACCAACCAAGCGCTGGGGCGTCTCAAGACCTTCTGAAGGCATATCCTTTTCACACATTCCCAATTAGAGTCAAATGTTTCCCCGCAAGATTGACCATACTCCTGGAGGGTTAAGGAGGCGTCCAAAAGCCCAGGCTAAGACTGCAATATTTCTTCTTTGATTGCAAGTTCGGGGTCTCGTCAAGAGGTCTGTTAGGGGAAATGTTTGTGAGTTGGTGGTCTGGGTCTGAATGTCTTGCGTCCAGAAAAAAATGCTTTGTCTCCAAAGGGACATGGGTGGCTTGTCTTTTCTTCAGGGTACCTTTCTTTCTTTGGCTTCAAAAAGGAAAACCTCTCTGAAAACCACCCCTTTGGGGGTCCGTTTGAAGAAAGAGGCACACCCACATGCAATTTCGCCCCTCTGAGCTCCAGGCCCAGAAGCGATAGGCTCGCAGTACCCGCAGCCCGTCGTCCCGCAGCTCAGCCGAGGCGCTCAATCGGAAACCAATCAAAATGAGTGGGTTCCCTTGCCCTTTCAACCAACCAAAGGGGTGAAAACGACACCCGGTTTCTTGGCGAGTCAGGCCAAAAAGTTGGGGCGCCTTTGGGTGCGGGAGGCATCAGTTCCGGTTTGGTTTGGTACTTTCGTGTTGACTGTTTTGCTTGGCAGCTTCCGATGTGTTGCTTGGTTTTTGAGTTGCGTAGTTAGGCGGCCCCCATTTGGACGAGCGTCGAAGAGGAGAGAAAACAACCGAAGAGGACCGAAGTGGTACTCGGCCCCCTAATCATAGTTGTGTTCTTCCTCGGCATTGCTATTCAATGGAAGAGGGCCTGACAAAAGTGATTTTGAACTTTTTCTTGGATGGCCAAAGTTGAACAACATTATGTGCTTTTTCCCGGCGGGCAGCTAGCAATCGGCGCCGGCACAGCCGTAGTCTTTGCGCGGCACCTACAATCATGGCTAGGATGACGTTTGGTTGCGTGTTGATTGTTATCCGCCCCTGGCGACCAAGGTAGATCTGCGGTGCTCCACTTTCCTGAGGTCAGACGCAAAAGAAATTGACCGGAAAAGCAAAGTCACTGACGAAAGGGGGTCCCCATTTTCAGTCGGAAATCCTGGGATGAAAGAAAACGAGAGAATGGCTGAAGGCCGATCTTACATGACTGGTAAGCGGCTACCCTTGGCACAAAAGTCAGCCTTGAGACTCCCTTTTCCAAAACCAACAGCAAGGTGGGTCTTCAAAACGTACCCAACTCTCGTTTGGCCAAGGTGCAACACAACAAACGCAGATGCCAAAACAGTTCGGCGGCAGCCAACGTCGGATACCACTTGCAAGCGTTGATCACAACACTTCGACTTCGACCCATCTTCAAGAGGACGTGAGTTTCCAACCCCCTCCTGTCCTCCATGATTGTTGGAAAGAGGGTAATGCTGGCCTTGTCGACGGTTCTTTCCCGCTTCTTGGACGCATGCGTCATAAGAGTCTGCTGAGCTTCAGCAATGCGCAACCCAAATTGCGCAGCGTGGCACAGCAAGCTTTGATCACCTGCCGCCTCGAAAAGCCATAAAAGTTTGCTCCACCTAATGAGACAACCCAATCTTAAAATAAAGCGCACCTTCTTGGAAGGTCAGCAGTTTGGCACAAGAGCCACGGTCAATGTTTGTTGTGTCCCCCAATGGAATTTTGATGAGCAGCCCCCATGTCCAAATGGTATTTGATGTGCCCCATGGCACCCCTTTTACTACACTAGGCGACAGCAAATATTGTCCGTTGCTCGAATGCTCATCGGCCTATTTGCCCAATGGAACGAACCTACACGGTGAATGAGTATGGCAGCGCTTCGGGGCCATCTTCATCCGGCACCACTTCGACCATCTCCTCAGTCGACCCGCGCACATGGATGCTTTGCGCTCGCTTGCGCACAATATGGGTATCTCCGAATCAGGGGCCCCTAAAGGTAGTTGGCCTCTCCTGCAAAACAACCGCAAAGGGAAAAAAAGAAGGATAGTCAACTTTGAAAGGGGGGCCTGTGCACTTCCACGTTGATGGTCAGGGTAGGCAAAATTGCTATAACTAGCAATGTCGCCTCTTAGGATACCCACTTCAAATATCCATATCAGGCCAGAGTAACATGGACTCTGCTCCAATTGCCAAAGTGGTCACATGAAGATGTTGCTCTTTGCAATGGCTTGACTTGGTACATGTGACCCCAAAGAATTGAAATAGTACGGGCACAAGGGACATCCTACCATTTGCCAGCATCCGAAATTTCGAAAGTAGAAAACAAGGATTTAAGTTGCCCAATTTGACCATTCATTCCTCTTGGCTTTGTCTTTTTGTGATGGTACCTACAACATGCTGGTCCTTCTGGTTTCCCTTTAAAACCACCACAAAGGTGACATCCTCCAAAAAAGACCCACCTATTTCATGCACCAAAAAAGACGGACTCGATCGATCCACGTGATTTTGGCCGCTCTGGATCTACTCGTGCAGCTGTGACTCGGTGTCGACGCGCGGCAAGCTCAAGTAGGCATCTGTACCTCACGAATCGGCTCGTAAATGAGCCTGTCTCCTTTTAGGGGACCCACCCCCACCCCCCCTCCGGAAAAAAAAAAAAGCCAACCTAACATATTTCAAATGAATACCAAAAGGAAAACCACCTCTCTTTTTCGGGGGGAGCAACTTTGCAAAACGAAGAACAGTGTAAAACAGGCGAGTAACAAACTGTCGGCAAGAAGCACAGGGTCTTGTGTGGTTCCCAGGACAAATTTACTTGTTTCCCCAAACGTATATGGGAAGTTTAATTGGTGCCGAATTTGGCGGAAGCCTTGCAACATAGGTTAGTGGGTAGTGGGTGGTTAGTGGTGCATGAGGGGTTAGTGGGTGAGTGGTGACGTCCTTGAAGCGTCCCTTTGAAGCAAGCCTTCTAGTAGGAGCAGCCAAAACTCGAAGTGAGCGATATCCTCACTTCCTGAGTAGATTGCCCAAATAAAGTCCAAACTGCTTATTTCCACTAAAATGGTCTTCCCAAAAAGCTTTAAGTCCTTGAACTCGGGAAATGAGTATCACTGTTTCTAAAAATGGTGGAGGTGCCGTTGAGCAACACAAAGAACCCAAAAAGGTTGCGATTCAATCTGTTGTGGCGGGGGTCATGCTGCTGTGGAGGAGAGTTGCTGTTTCAGCACAATCAATGATGACCACTCAAAGAGCTGCTATCATACCCATGTCGTAGCAAATAAAACAAACACCTATGGCCAGCATGCCGGGACAAAGTTGTTGTTGCACATTGGGGGGGGAGCTTCTTTTGAGGGTACCAAATTTAGGCTGGGTCAAGTAGAAGCCAACAGGAGCCCCGCTGTTTTTGGGCCTCCTATTTTGAGACAAAACCCAAATTTTGCCTCCGGCGTTGGGAGCCAGCACTGCCGCATTGCAGTGGGCCAAATTCTTTGCCCGAGTGGGTGGGATTCAACCAGGAAAAATGAGGTGCAGGTGTGTGAGTGTGTGTGTGTGCGTGTGCTTTGATCAGGGTGTGTGTGTGTGTCTGTTTGTCAGGCTGTGTGACTGTGACTGTGACTGTGACTGTGACTGTGACTGTGACTGTGACTGTGACTGTGACTGTGACTGTGACTGTGACTGTGACTGTGACTGTGACTGTGACTGTGACTGTGACTGTGACTGTGACTGTGACTGTGACTGTGACTGTGACTGTGACTGTGACTGTGACTGTGACTGTGACTGTGACTGTGACTGTGACTGTGACTGTGACTGTGACTGTGACTGTGACTGTGACTGTGACTGTGACTGTGACTGTGACTGTGACTGTGACTGTGACTGTGACTGTGACTGTTACTGTGACTGTGACTGTGACTGTGACTGTGACTGTGACTGTGACTGTGACTGTGACTGTGACTGTGACTGTGACTGTGACTGTGACTGTGACTGTGACTGTGACTGTGACTGTGACTGGGA